CTGTCGAGTGAGAGGGGGAAACAACGAGAAAAATACGCCCGCCCAACACCGACCACTGGGTTTACCCAACTTCCCATCTTTTTTCTTGCAAATTTGAAAAGTCAACCTCTCTCACCAAGGTCAAGAAAACACCTCCCAACAGCAAGCAAGAACGACCCCCCCCCCTTCCCTGGAACCGCAGAAATCAACTATCAAATAAAAATTTCTCCCCAAATACGACCCCCCCCCCTGTTGGAATATCCCCAACAACGATGTGCCCTGTTCTAGCTAAACCATACCAAAAAGAGAAGGATTGTAGCTCGAAGTAGCCGTCTGAAGTTAAATGGGCACTGCTTTACTCCAAAAACACAGGAAAAGTTCCCGCTGAGACTCTACGTACAGAGGTTATTCGATGCTCTGATCACGAATGTGCCATTCATTTTTGGCGCAGGCGCCATTGGGCGCCAATAGGTACCAATGAACAAATTTTTGTGCGAATGCTACCAGCTTTCTCGACGAAGTAGATGAAAACTATATAAGGGTTATTTGACATCCTCAACAAGTATATAAAGTTGTTCCTTCCCCGCCAGGCTCAGCCTTAGCAGGGGCGCAGATGATCAGAGTGCCCTGCGCTGGGGCCATCGCTGAGAATGAATACCATATTCGTGATCAGGATATCAAAAACTTTCGCATACAACGTTTCATAGATTTTGTCGAGAAAGGTCATGACGCTGAACAGGCGCCTATCGGTGCGAAATGGCGCGTAAGTGGTGAAACGATGGTGATGATGTGTGTGACCGGTACCAGATAAGTCGCCGCCCCCCCCCCCCCCCCCCCCGCCCCCCGCCCCCCCCCCCCCCCCCCGCCCCCCCCCCCCCCCCGCCCCCGTCGTACGCAAGTTTTCATCGATATCATTATCATAAATGATCCACTTTTCATCACAGGTGAGAATTCGGTTCAAACGGGTCGTTTCTGTTGCGCAAAAGCAGTGAAAAAGAAACCTCGAGACGTGCCAATTTCTGCCGATCACTCAATTGTGGGGGCGGCACGCGCATTTGTCGAGCATCTTTTTTTATTAACCTTTCCGGCAAAATGTGTTTCAGACGGGACATCACGCAACAACAGTGGACTTGCCAACATCTAGCTTTTAATCTCTGGACCTATTTGGGATGGGTCAGCCTCCAAAAACGCCTTCAAATCCTCGTCAGGTATTGCTTTAGGTCGACCGCTATGAGGTTCATCTTCAAGGCTGAAATCTCCAGAACGAATTTGTTGAACCATTGTCGCACGGTGCTTTCTCCTACACTATTGGGCCCCCACACCTGGTTAATTTGTCGAGCTGTCTCGAGTGCGGAATGACCTAATTTTTAGTTGAAGAAAAATATCGTCCGAAGTTGCTCTTTTGACATGCATCAAAAAGTCTTGGGAAAAGGGGGTTTATCAAGCAATGGTGAAACGGCAATTATACCATCAGATAGCGCAAAAATTCTCTTCAGGATGTACTACTGAGACGCAAGGGAGAATGAGTTTTTAATCAGCGCTGAGAACTTTCCGGGCAACCTAATATGAAGCCATCGCTAATTATAGCAATTCTGCCCGCTCTTTTGGCAAGTAAAGACCTAGCGCGTGCGTAACGACCTCAGCTCCAAAAATAAGGGTCAGGATCATAACCGGGGCCATCAGTTACCCCTGTACGTTACCCCCTAGTTACGAAAGTTCAGCAAAAACTTTGTTCGAAATCTTCTGGTCTCATTCGATCGACCATTTGGATGGCAACAACACCCGAATCTCGCATCTTTGTTAGCGTGCAGGTCACCGACAAAACCAACTGTCAAAAATATGGCATTTGCAAATTCAGTGCGTCTTCAAAAAAGGCCATGCCAACTCTAGAGCAGCTGAGCGGGCATCCTGAACCGTTTTCAAATTCTGCTGTCTAGGCTTCAAACGAAGACCCTCGTTACCTCCTGCCAAAGACAGGAGAGCGTATTTCTCTTTGACTTTTCGGGTGTAATTGGAGTGCAGTATGTATACGGCCTTTCTTTTCTGTAGTTGTTAATAGTCGTTCGTAAACTGGTAAAGGCTAAGTTTCAGGATAACCACTAGTGGACATAGTCAGCCATCATGACCCAAAAAGCTCAAAAAAAATCCTGCTGGAAGTTTGTTTACAGGGGTAACTGATGGCTCCAATCACGATTCTGACTCTCATTTTTGATGCCGAGGCCATTTGCGGCCAGCCTGGCGCTAAACAGCTTTTATGCCATATGGTTTCCAGGCGTTTAGTAGTTTCAGTTTTAAAAATTCGTCGTTAAATTCAAGGTGAAGCAATCAATACTTCATCACAACGCGCAGTATGAAAAAGGACCAAGCCAACTATAACGGAGCTCAGCTGCACAGTTTTCGTACATGCTACAACGAATTCTGCTCCAGCAGGCTATCTCCTGCTCTGATTGCTATTAGAATTAGGCTCTGTGACGGCCTTAAACTCTTCTTCAGAACGAAGCCTCCTGGTTGGCGACGTATGCACCAGCTCTTTCATCTATACGTGGCGGACAGCCATCAGAAGACAGAATTACTGTTTGAAATGAAATGAAAGAGTTCAAATAAAATTTGAGTTTTGATAGCTTGGAATCCAATTTGCAGTTACTCCTGCCGCGACCTAATAGAAGGCGAGCCAGCCGCGACTTAATAGAAGGCGAGTAAATGAGCGCAGTGATTCTCACGAGTTACACTCCTTATCCCTGAGACGGAGTAGGCGTGGCCTTTGAGCACTGCATAGAATGGGTTGCTCGTGGGATATTTCAGTTTGAAACAACTGTCATTTTTTTCTGTGTTGGACAGGGACGCAACCCCGATTGTGCCAAAATGGAAATGTCTCTCCAAAAGCATGACCACCTCCACGGATAGTTGAAGTACGCAGCCACGCCTACCTCATCCCAGGGATTTCGAGTGTATTCTATCGACTCGTTGACTCCCTTGCTAATATTACTAGAATGAATGAGGTAGGTTCATTAGAAAAATCCATATTATATGTTTTTTTTAGCATAGCTTTGACTCTGCTACTTGGCAACTAACCTGCAAACCCTTTCTCGCCGGGTATTCCTGGCACTCCAGGTTGTCCCGGTGAGCCAGGAAGTCCACTTTCTCCTTTCCGTCCGTTGACACCTGGGAGCCCAGGAGAACCGACATCTCCAGGCCTTCCAGGGAATCCAGCTTCACCCTTGAGTCCTGGTAGCCCAGGAGCTCCAGGCTGCCCGGGAGTGCCATCCTTTATCAAACTTTTAGGAGCAGCAACACCAGGTGGGCCCTGGATTCCAGGAGTACCAGCGGCACCAACAGGTCCAGGTTCTCCCTTTTGTCCAGGAATACCAGGCTGACCAGGCGCACCATGACCGTGTTCTCCCTTGAGTCCGGGCAGCCCCGGTAATCCGTCTTTTCCAGGCTTTCCAGGAGTGCCAGGCAGTCCTGGTTGACCCTGAAAGAGGAAACATCTGTGATCCAGACTGGAAAGCAAAATGAGAGGCAATATTGTTAACAATCATTCTCACCTTTTCTCCAGGAATCCCAGGTTGTCCGGGCGCTCCAACAAGTCCTGGTGCTCCCGGTAATCCATCCTGTCCAGGTTGTCCTGGAAATCCTGTTTCTCCTTTCATTCCAGGATAGCCAGGTGGTCCAGGTCTGAGAACGAGTTGAGTCGGTTCACCCTTTTGCCCAGGTAATCCAGGCAGACCGTCAAGCCCGGGAGGCCCAGGGGCTCCGGGTCGTCCTGGAGGCCCTGGTATTCCATCATCTCCAGGATCGCCATTTGGACCAGGCATACCGGGAAGTCCACGATCTCCCTGAGGACCTGGTTGTCCGGAATATCCGGAATTTCCTTTTTCTCCTTTGATTCCGGGCGCACAGGTCGAGCATGCACCACCACGATCTCCCTTCGGACCAGTGACACCAGGTAGCCCAGGAATCCCGTCTCGTCCATCGTATCCTTTAGGCCCTACAGGCCCTCGAGCGCCTGGTGGTCCTGGCAAGCCGTGCAGAGAATCTCCGGGTGGTCCTAAAGCATTTTGCTGAATGATCAAAAAGAAAGAACTTCAACCAGGATGTTACACCAATTCACCAACCTCGAACTCCAGGGAGACCTTGTTCTCCTTTTCGACCAGGTGCGCCATCAAGGCCCTGTCGACCGTCGTTACCAGGTAAACCTGGAATGCTCTGTCCGGGGATTCCACGTGCGCCAGGCTCTCCTTTAGGCCCAGGATTACCGAACTGTCCCGGCGGGCCGGTAACACCAGGTGCACCAGGAATTCCGCTCTCCCCTTTCTCTCCTTTCGGACCAGCAACACCTTCAAGCCCAGGTAACCCGGGAGCTCCAGGCCCACCAGGTTGCCCGGGTGGCCCGGCAGGTCCAGGCTGTCC